ACAGTGAGACTCTGTCTCAAAAAAAAAAAAAAAAAAAAAAAAAAGCTACAGGTGGGATCAATGATGAAATTGCTGGTGGCACAGGGAGGAAATGAGAAAGAAGTAAAAATATAGACTGAGATGACCTCAGGTGAGAAAGAGAGAAAAGATGACTTCACAGAAATTTAAAAGCCCCAAATTCCAGTGGGCAAGGGAAGAGCAAAGTCACAGAATTCATATCAAACAGGGAGGAGCTGAGAAAGAGGAGAGTGGGGGGCTTTTGAGCTTAGCTTCCTTTCTGACAGAGTTTAAGATTGATGTGTCCCATACCAAATTATCCTCTGTTTCAAGTTTGACAGCTCCGGTATATTATATATAGTAAAATTCATCTCTCTCTCTTGCCTACGTGTCTGTCTACCTATCTGTGTATCTATGTATCTATCATGTACCTATCTATTGTTATTGTTATAATAGCTCTCATTTGCTGAAAATCTGAAAGAGCTGAAGCTCAGCAAAGATGGGAGCCTTGCTCCAGTCTCGCAGTTAGTAAGTGGCAGAGTTGGGATTGAGCCCGCATGTCTTGATTCCATATTCAACTCTTTTCCCACTGCCTGTTTTAATGCATTATTGACCAGATATTAAAATTCTATATAATGAAAGCATTCAAATTTTGAATAAATGTATTTATACTAAAGGACTTTGAGATATAGAAAATTTCAGAAACTTAAGTTGGACAGAATCTCACTAGGTGTCCAACTGGCAGTTCTCACTCGTAAGTGAGCTAAGAGATCAAAGCAATGCCCTCTTGACTCTAAGGAGAACAAGAGAAGAATGTCAAAAGGTGTAACTTTCCTCTGAAAACTGTGGAATAAGCTAAACCAACATATTTGGTTTAGAGGAAAGCCAGTTTCACTTCTGAAAGTTAACTTACAACTTTTTTCTTCTCCTTTTCCAGCTCCATTTCTTTCTTTTCTTGCTCACGAATACTTCTGCGCTGTTCTACGTATTCCAGATGCTTGACTTCTCTTTCAAAGTAGTAATTAACACTTGATATCTGTGGGAAACAAAGGTCCAGGAGAGGGTAACCCACGGGAAGTCCCATGTCCTTCCTTAGGTTCTGTTAGAATTCCTGCTGTTCATAATCAGGTTGGTTACCTACCCAATCCACCTCCCTAATCTACTTGATCCTTACCTAATGACCAACTATCTAATCATTATGTAGATTACCTACTTTGGGATACTTCAAATCTTTCAGGTGAATGTAATTTGGAAACTGTGCCTACAGGCCTACTACCAGAGAAGCTACCTCAGTTTGGGGTCTACTGTGATAAGATGTATGTCCTTGTGACTCGGAGGTTTCCAGAGCAGGGTTGGAAGGAGAGAACTGCAATATCAGGGATTGATTTTTTTCCCTTTTCTTCCTTCTTACTTCTAAGACTGAGTGAAATTTCACATCACCAGCCAAACTTGGAAAATCCAGATAAAGGATATCAATGTAGAATGTAGAATTCCCTTAAAGGGAATGAAAGCAAAGCCAAGTTCCTCGTGCCCTGGAAAGCTTAGCATGTAGGCATAAAAATAGAAGTAGAGAAGTCAGCAGAGACCTTGGGAAAGGCAATCAGGGAGAGAAAGCTTTTCACCTGCCAGTAACTAGGCCGATGTTGCTGGGACTTGCAATGGATTGTAATGTATATATTTAATGTCAGTTTTATGTATATTTATGTATTTCTATTCATTGATCTTTTTAAAAGGTCATGATTAACATTGTTTGAAGTACTTGGGTGGTGGGTACGGGGCAGGGGGTGTGCAGAATATTGCCAGTTCAGACGTGCTACTTGCAATACACCAAGTTGAGGGAGGACGAGGTGGGGGTGGGTGATGGAGAGAGAAGCATAAAAATGTCAACTGGGCCCTCAGGGAAGGGCATTGCTGAAATAAGCGTCCCACTCCTCAGTTACAACTGGAAAATAACATTCTGTGATTATGAATCCCCAAATCAATTATTCTCTCAGAGTCTGGACTTCATTTACTTAGCTTCCTTCCCATCTCATGTCTGGGTTTTATTGTTTTTTGTTGTTGTTTTTAATCTTGAAACTATTTAACTCATATAACAGAAATATATCCTCTTATTTTTGACTGCATGAATCTTTTGCTCCCTTATAGAGCAAAAATGCTGTCATTTCTAACACACTCTTAAGACATGCCTCAGTAATATCTGGTCACATAAATCCTCAAAGCCAAAAGTTACCAACCTCATTGGTGGAAGGGTGACTTAACGTCCAAGGAATTTCTAATATATGCAGGGTTCCGTAATAATCAGCTATGGCTATAAATTGCTGCTTAGCTGAAAAATTTAAAAAATGGGAAGAAAAAGTCAGCAAACAGAAAGCCATCTTAAGAGGTTAAATATGAAATGTGTTTTTGATTTGTGGTTTCCCAAAGGACCTGCTGTGGATACAATGATCTTGGCATCTTCATAAGATGTTCATGACTGGACCATATAAACATGTAAAAGTCATTTTTTCCAGTTGATGGATTGAAAGCTAAGACCCTGAGCTTGTCAGAAACCCTGCCACCTCAAATCTTGTTTTCCTGGTGTCTATATAAAGAGTGTGGCTCCCAGCTGAGGTTGACCCTCTTTGTGGTTGGGCCTGCCAGGCAGACTGGAGAAGAAAGCTGGGGGAACACATGGAAAGATTTTCAAAGAAAAGTCATAAAGTACATTTTCACCAAACACAGAAGGGCTGAAGGATACCATTATCCTTTAATGGATTTCAAAGACACAGCCAGAACCACAGTTTTCTTATTATAAAAACAAATTGCTTCCTTTGAGCATTTATGGGTATAATATACAAAGTGTTCAAGAATTTTAATTTTCTATCTCATCATGTATGGGCTTTTTTTCTTCTTTTCGTTTTCAGAAGGAATGGTTCAAATTGCTAAAATCCTGGACTCATAATTCCTGTAGGTATACAAAAGCCATGTTTTGCATCAAAAATGGGAAAACACACCTTGGTGACACATATGGTTAAGCACTGGTCAGACTGTGACCCTGTAGAGATTCTGAAGACTGAGTTTCCAAATCTAAGGTTTCCGAGAGAGAAATGGACAGAAAGATAATTTTATGCCTGCACACCTTTGGAAACAAAAGGAAACTTCTTTCAAAAAGGGCAAATATAATGAATTTACATGGAAAGTACCACTTGAGCAAAACCGAAAAATTGGGACAAAGGAAATAAATTACTTTTCCATAGACACATCCTTGAATTTATGCTTCCTTTGTTATACATTTATTTTTCCTCATAAGTGATTCAAAGGTCCCAGAGAGTCATCATATCTAATGAAGAGAAATGCTTCATGTTGTCCAGGGGAGCACCATAAGTGACATAATATGGAAACACGTGAAATAATGGAATGTTCAAGAAAGAAAACTTATTCTATCTGGAAAAGAAGCAGCAAAAGGTAGCAAAGACTTGGGGATCACCCTGTCTGACCTGGAGGAGCTGAGGATGCTTTGCCAACATGTGGTTCAAAACCAGCTCTGCTGAGGCATATGAAACATGGCTCAGAAACCAGTGAAGATGAGACAAAACAGTGAGAAAATCTCACGTTGTAGCCAAGATTTGAGAGCAAGAGAGAAAGGAAAGGAAAGGGAAGGATGGGCAGGAAAGGGAGGATAGCAGAAGAGAAGGAAAGGGAGAGGAAGGGGAGAGAGGGAAGGAAGGAGAAGGAGTGGGTGAGAAGAAAAACAAAAACCTGGGAAAAAACACGGGAGGCTTTCCAGAAAAATGTCAAAATGTTCCTGAGTTACCCAAAATGACTTAGCTCATTTGATTAGAATTAACATACAAGAAAAGGTCCAGGGTTTGATGTAGGTGATCATAGTGATGCAAATATTTTGGGACAGCGTTGGTTCGTGGGTTTTCTCCAGAAGGTCCCAGATATCGACATAACCATCTTCTCGGCCAATATAGAAAACTCCAGGCCTTGTCAGGGACCAGTGTCCTGAGGTATACCTTTTCGGTGCACAGCATGACTGAAGAAGTGGCCCAGTCTTTAAGCAAATTTTTAAAAAGACAAATGAAAAGATTTTGTCATTATCAGAGGGAAATTCACAATGATTTTCTTTAAGTACAATTTAGCTGGCTATGATCATATGACAGCAAAATTATGCGCACTACGAAGTCTTCTTTTTGTTGTAGGATTTTTATATAATATCAGCTCCTTTCTTTCCTATATGTTTTCTTTTCTTTTTCTTTCTTTTTTTGAGGCAGAGTCTCACTCTGTTTCCTAGGTTAGAGTGCATGGTGTGATTACAGCTCACTGTAGCCTCGAACTCCTGGGCTTAAGCGTTCCTCCCCCCTCAGCCTCCCAAGCAGCTGGGACTATAGATGCACACCACGCTTAGTTAATTTTTTTATTTTTATTTTTTGCAGAGGCCAGGTCTTGCTATGTTGCCCAGGCTGATCTCAAACTCCTGGCCTCAAGTGATCCTCCTGCCTTGACCTCCCAAAGTGCTGGGATTACAGGTGTGAGCCACTGTGCCCAGCCTCTTTCCCCTCTTTCCTGCTTGTTTTCATAAACCATTTAAAAAAATTTTTAGTTGCTTTATAGAAAAGATCAAACTTTCCAATTGAGCTGTTGATGGTTCTAATAATCCAGTTACTTTTTTTTTTTTTTCAGACAGAGTCTGGCTCTGTTGCCTGGGCTAGAGTGCCATGGTGTCATCCTAGCTCACAGCAACCTCAAACTCCTGGGCTCAAGCGATCCTCCTGCCTCAGCCTCCCGAGTAGCTGGGACTACAGGCATGAGCCACCATGCCCAGCTAATTTTTTCTATATATTTTTAGTTGTCCAATTAATTTCTTTCTATTTTTAGTAGAGACAGGGTCTCGCTCTTGCTCAGGCTGGTCTCCAACTCCTGACTTTGAGCAATCCACCCGCCTCGGCCTCCCAGAGTGCTAGGATTACAGGCATGAGCCACCGCACCCGGCCTAATCCAGCTACTTCTAAATCCATCACTCTTTCTACAGAGATTGGTGGACATTAGATACATAAAGATTATAAGGACATTTTGCTTATACCTTTATTTTGCTACCAGATATCTGCTTCCCATGGAAACAGCTCTGGTAGTTAGTGAAGGCAAATGAAAAATCTGTCAATTCCAGCTGTGGGCTGCATGTTGAAAATCAACAGCAAATTGAAAAATTCTCATTAGGTAACTTCAAGTGGAAGCATCTGACAGTTGATAAATATATTTGGAAGAGGTTTTAGACCACCAAAGCATCATGAGATCATCTTCTCTTTTCTCTACCCTGGGGTAATTTGCCTTCTTTGGGAAGTTTTTACAGAAAAAGATCAGGCTTTCAACCCACTGTCAGGCTCCATCTAGCAACCAGGTGTCCTCATTTGTCTACTTACATCTGCAGAGACTAAACTAAACCATGGAGCTGTCTCCCACCCTCCAATACACGTATAAGAAACTTTCCTGTGGGGAAAGAAGAATGTCATACATTCATAAATTCCTTAGAGGTGACACTTCAAACCTGTTCTCCTTGTCCACTTCTCCCGGTGATTTCAGTTTCTGTAGATGACCAGGTTTCTGGCTCCCACATAGTCTTTGCACCATCTTGCCTGAATTTTTTCTCTTTTTACTACAAAACTTGCTCATTGTAAAAATACCCCTCAAACATGCAGAAGTACATTGGTATAACACAGAAGTCCTTTTGTTGATGGACATTGAAGTAGTTTCTAATTGTTTTCAATGATAAATTTTTACATATATTCACATACATATTTTGAATATTTGTGTAACTTAGAGTTCCACAAGTAGAACTGTTAGGTCAAAGAATATATATATTCCAGCTTTGAAATAGATATATTTCACCTTTTGATAATCTTCTCAAATTGCTCACCAAAAGGAAATATTAATTTACACTTCCACCAAAAGTACTGACTTCCCAACACCCTAGCTTCACTGGATTTTATCAGTCTTTCTAGTTTTGGGCAGCTGAGCTCCTATCTGCCTGGATCCAGCCCTCTCCTAATCCTGACCAGACTCTTGCTCCTGCCTCACTTTGGCCCATGTATGTCTCGGGACAGGCTGTGATCTGCCTGGTGTTGGACCCCTCAGCTCACTCACTCCCACTTTCTGAACCTGCCAATCAGCACGTTCCTAGTGCGGAAGCAAAGATGACAGACCCCATGTTTCTGCTTGGACTTCACATAGAACTCAGCATCCCATCTTGTGTTTTAAAGGGGGGACAAAATACAACTCAAATCAACTGCCCACAGCAGATATTTGAAAGAAAAGACTGTGAGGTTTCAGACATCAAGGAACTCATAAATGTTGTTTCTTCCCCTCAGGAAAGAAAAGCAAATGGATGTGTTTTCAAAAGGCTCACAGTGGTTCTGCTGACAAGCTGGAGCCCTGACCATCTGTTCTAATTTCTCTAAAAAATATCCCAAAGGCACTGTTATGTTAGAACAGGCTGTTCTTCCTATCGTATTTCTCAATAGCAAAGGACCACACACCCACTCCTCCATTTTGCAGGCAACTTACCATAACACTTTCTTTCCAGATGGCCACGTTCCACCCACCAATAGTGAGAATAATATCGTTGTAAAAAGGTGATCTCTGAACCGTGTGGACAGCTCCATCATGGACAGTGTAGAGGTTCACTGGCTTCTTTGCTGTTGGAGTGGAAAGGCCATACCATCTTTAATAACATTGCTTACATTCCCACAATGAAGAATGGACAGACAGGTCGCAATTAATGGGGTCCAAGAGTGAAGAACCAGAGGTTAGGGTGAATAAACCTGTCAAGGGATGGCTCCTTCTCTTTTTATGGAAAATCCTGGGAACTTCCCATCAGGGCCACTTTTCAGGCTCAGAGGAATACTTCATGTTCTTATTCTTTTACTCATTTATTAATTCATTCAGTTATTTGATAAATATTTGTGGATTGCCTATATGTACCAAGTACTGTAGGTGCCTGGGTAAACAGTGGTTTACAAACAAACGTGATACTGTCCTCATGGAACTTAACAGTCCAGTAGGAAAAACAGATGCTCAATAAACAAATCCCAAAGTATATAACTCAAAAATTGTCAAAAGGATTATGAAGGAAAAAATATTACAAGAAAGAATAGCAAGGGGCATTTGTAATTTAGACTTCAGAAAGGGCTTCTGTGAAGGTGATCCCAGCGTGAGATACATGAAATGAATGGAACTAGGAGAGTGCAGACCATGCCGGGCCTTGCAGAAAGGAGTTTAGATTATACCCTAAGTATAGTGTGTTTCTATGAGTCCTTTATGCCTAGAAGTGAGGCAATCTGACTGGTGTTTCCAAAAGATTCTCTGGCTGCCTTTGCAAGAACGGGTTAGAAGAGGGAATATCAGAGGAGGCTGTCATGGTAGTTCCGATGAGAGAGAATGGTGGCTTGGATTAAGATGCAATGGAGAAGTGTGGAAAATCAAGAAATATTTGTGAGCTGGAATTGATAGGACTTGGAGATGGCTTGAATAGGAAGGATGAGAAAAGAAATGCTGAGGACGACAGCCAGGTTTCTGACAAGAGCCATGGGGTTTCCACGTGTTGAAGCTGGGAATACTAAGGGAGGAAGTTTGGATGTTGAGATCGGAGCTCCCTTTGCTCTCTGCCCCAGGCCCGGAGGTTTTCCTGCTTCTCAGGTCTCTTTACCCAGAGAACAGGAGGATTCTGCTTGGATTTCCTCTGCCCCGGGCCTGGCTGCAGAGCCGAATGCTCCTCATTCCTGTTGCCCACACCCATACACCCCAGACATGGCCATAAAAATAGATGCCTGTCCAGGCCAGACCACAGTGTCTAGCTGCTTTATACTAAAACCGCAGAATTATTCTGAATCTTATCATTTTAATAGCTATGTGAGGGATAGTTTTCCCCCCAGAACCCCGATGAAACATTAAGCAGAATAAGATTTAATAAATCTTGTACGACACTTATAAAGTAGGGTTTCAAGGAGATATTTGTCCACCCATGTTCATAGCAGCATTATTCACAATAGCCAAATGGTGGAAGCAATCGACTGTCCATTGTTAGGTGAATGGATAAACAAAATGTGGTATATACATACAATGGAATATTATTCAGCCTTAAAAATGAAGGAAATTCTGGTATATACTACAACACGTATGAACCTTGAGGACATTATGCTAAATGAAATGAGCTAGTCACAACAAGACAAATTCTCTATGATTCCACTGCATGAGGTATCTAGGGTAGGCAAATTCATAGAAGCAGAAAGTAGGATTGTGGTTGCCAGGGCTGGGGGAAGGGAGATAAGAGGAGTTAGTGTTTAATAGGTATGGAGTTTCAGTTTTGCAAGAAGAAAAGAATTCTGGAGATTGGGTGCACAACAACGTGAATGTACTTAACACCTCTGAACTATACACTTAAAAATGGTTAAGATAAGTTTTATGTTTATGTGTGTCTTACCATAAGTTAAAAAATTATTTTTTTAAAAAAACTTAAAAAGTAAAAATAAATAAATAAAAATTTAAATGTAGCTCTTCTGGATTAAAAAAAAAAAAAAAAGGCCCATTTTCTTCCTACCGAAGCCCCATCTTAAAGAGAGCACAGAAGACACACTTCTAGGGCCACCTTGAAGTGATCTAGAAGATCACTTTCCAGGGCGCAAGAGCCCTAGAAACCAGCAGCTTTCCTCTTGCTGTTCCTGAGTTTCTCAGAGCCCAGTTTTGCCCTCAGGGTTAGCAGGACTTCCCTAGACTTCACCTCACCCTGGTGAGCAGGGCCATCTAGAAGTCCGGAAGCCTCTGAGAACTGTAATGATCGCCAGTGATAGCAGTATCAACAACAGCAAGGTTTGTACTTTAAAACATTAGATGTTCTCAACCCACAATAACTTTTTTCTTTTTTGTTTTTTGTCCTTTGAAAGACCTTAGTCCATTTAGAAATGAATGGAGCTGTCCTTAAATTATTAAGTGGACTGCCGGAGCCTCCAGGGCAGGTTATTATAAGAAAATTACCATAAACGAAAAAGCAGTTTTCCAGAGTCATTGTCTAATGCCGGATGCAGTCTAGTAATTTGGTTAAGAGCACAGACTCTGGCGGCAGACTGTCTGGGTTCAAATTCTGGCAGTGCCACCTACAGTAGCCACCCCATAGGGATGCTGTGACGATTAATGAGTTTCCATAGAAGTGTTTGGAAGAGTGCCTGGCACATGCCATGTACAGTAGAGTACGCGAAATGATTGTGTCCACTGCCAACATTCAGCCTGCATTTCTTGGCTTGTCACTTAGATCCCCTGGAAATTTTGTTAGATTTGGCTTCTTTATCACACACAACTCAGTGAGGGTAATCTGTCCTTTAGGAGTTTCTTCTTGGAAGAGGAAATTCTCCTTCCTGCCTGGTTGTAGATTTGAGATAAGAACATGGGGTTCCAAGCAGACTAAGAGGGGTCAGGTCCCAGTGGTCATCTCATCTTTACTCAAGAAACCTCCATGGTGTTTACGAGAGACACTAGGCTGGTAGGTCCCAAGGAAAACACTGCCAGTTTCCAGAATGTGAACAGGGCACATAGTTCGCAGTTCAGAGCATCTACGCGCTGACTTTCCCTATACTTCAACCATCACTCCGTAGTAATAACAGTGTTGTTTGGCTTTCCATGTTACCAAATACTGGTCTGATGATTTCCGGTATTAACATAATCTTTTAGAGTTCGTGGTTACAGCTATTTCCTTTTTTTTTTTTTTGAATGAACTAAATGCCAAAACATGAAAAGCAGCTCCCCTCTTCCTGGCCGCCCATATCTTATTGGCCATGAAGCCCTGGCATGCAGACCCCTCAGCTCCTTCCCACCATTCCCTGCTCCCCATCCCTGTCCCCAGGCCTGCACCTCAGCCTCACCCCCTGTCTGCTGGGCCATCACAGCTGGCCTTCCTGAGTCCACTGTGAGTTCTACCAGAAAATTAACCCAGCCCTTGCTCTCCTGCTAGAGTGATTTTCTGATTCTGTGGGTGGCTCTAGGATAAAGTTCAAGGTTCTTAGTAGGGCACTCAAGACTCTTTGCCATCTGGACCCAAATGTCTTTTCTGTCACCTCTCCTGCTGCTATTGTCCTCCATTGCTGTGCTTTGGCCAGGAGATCTCCCTGTTTCCCAACTGTCTCCTGCTCTTTTGGGCTTCCATGTTTTTGCACTCATTATTCTTTCTTCCTGAAATGCCTTTCCCCATTTTATCCATGTGGAAAATTCCAGTCAAGACCCAGATCAACTGTGTCTTCAGTGGGATCTTAACAGCTCAAGAGAGTTCCTCCCTGGGCTCCCACATCATTTTGTGTTTGCTTACAATCATAGCAGTAATGACACTGTAATGTCATCGTTTGTTTATTTGTTTGACTTTTCCAATAGATCCTAGAACTCCTTTGGGAAGGATAATATCCTTATCATCTTTGTATCTTCAGTGCCTGGCACATAGCAGGTCTTAATAAAGATTTGATGAATGAATGCAAGTAAGAAAGAACAAACACCAATGAGGTTCAAACATAAAGTTCTTGGGCTTTAAATTTATTGTTATTGGTTCTTTTATAAATGAAATAAAATCCATTTAAAATAAACAACTAAACCTGTTTGTCATGGGTCCCCTAAAAGCAGTTTGGCTCTAGGAGGAAGTTTAGCCCAAGAAATCTCTGAGACCAGGAGGAATTGAATCTGTGTCCACCAGTGCACGGCCAAGTCATGTCATCAGGTCTTCAGCTCATGTCCCAGGGGTGTGGTGAAGACTGCTGCTGTGTTACACGGTGCCTGACTTGAAGTACATGCACAATTACTAACATTCATGAATCAGTAAATAACTAAGTGCATGAATAAGCATAAAGGAAGTTGAATATAATTTATTATATCTAACATCTAATTTTGAGTTCAACTTTAAATCATGGAATTGGGAGTGAATGGAAAGTGGAAAATCAGTCCCAGTTCTGAGTGCACTTGACCCTACCATGGGTCACATCCAATCCTCTCTCAATGCCCCACTGTTATCAATAACACACATTTGGGTTTCTGGTCAGGAGTGCTTTTGCTTCAAGATTAAATGGCTGCACTGAAGGCATGGCTGAGAAAGAAAGCATTCCCGGGTCTAAGGCAGACTCTGGTCTCTGGAACCAGACTCAGCAGGAGTGAAGGGAGTGGAGTTACAGGTGAAGATTCGTGCTCCAACAGCTGTCCCCTGAAGGCTGTGCCTCTGATCTCTGACCCTTGACCCCCATCAGTCACTCACATCTCTACTTGCCCAATCACTCACAGGGTTGACCAGATCTCCTTCTCTGAGCCCAGCTGCCTGCCACATGCTCCCATGTGGAGTTCTGAAGCCTTCTTACCAGCCTTTGTCTGCTGAGCTGTCCCAGGAGCTACCTCTGCCTTTGCTTATGGTTATCACAAACTTTGAAATGCAGCTAGAATAGAATATACCTTAATACCATGATAAAATTCAAAGCTTCAAAATGAGTAGTTGTCATTTAAGTGAACCCCAGAGCTCTGAGCCTGTTAAAGACAGGGAGCTTTGTTTATTGGGGTGCCTGGGCTCCTGACCCTGATTCCCGCTCACATCTTGGGTGACCTTCATACCTCTTCTCAGCTGCCCAGAGTTGGGGTCCTGGGACAGGACAGGGACAGAAGACACAAGGACAACACCTTCTTAGCCCCAAAGGAGGGTCCTGCACTTGCTTCTCCCATACTGTTCCAGGGTCTTCAAGATCATTAAAAATTTAGCTTATAATGTCACTTTCATTCATTTTCCACATAGATGAACTATCAGGTTGTTGAATTACTGAAACCGCATGTTATTTTTTAATTAAACTGTTCAAGTGACTTGGTCATTTAAGCATCATACAGGTCAGTGCTCTGCAAATTTTGGTGTGAAAACAAATTTCCTAGCAAACGTTTTAAAATCCAGATTCAGATTCATCAGTCCTGGGGTAAGATGGAAGGTTTTTATGTGTATTTCTAGCAACCTCCCAGGTGACACTATGTGGCCTTTTCAAGGTTCTCACTTGGAATAACAAGCGTGTTAGTCAAAACCTTAGGCGCCCTCCCTCCCATTAGCAAGACCAGGGTTACTTAGGACTTCAAGAGATTCCTTTGGGTAGTTAAATTAAGAGGAACATCTTCTCCATAACAAAGCTATCCACAAAACTTACTTGTCAATCGGCCAGTTTCAGGGTCTCTTTCCATTTTCCAATCTGTGTACATCACTTCACCTTCCTAAAAATATTACAGGTTCCTGATGAGCATCATGACAACTTAAGAGACAAAGAACATCACATTCATGTGCTAAGACTGATTATAATGAAAACAAATACGAAGTAACAGGTCAATTTAATCAAATAATAATTCGATACAGTGAGGGAGGGGGAGGCTCAAAATGATTACTGGATTTTATGTTGAACAAAAAATGAGTTTTCATCTACACATAGTGATGTGGAGAACATGGGCGGTTATGCAGATAATTTATGTATGAGAGTCTCAATCGCTGGGTTTCTGAAGTTTTTGTTACTGATCCATGAAGGGAGGGATCAGGTCCATCTTATTGAGCGATTTCTTCTTTGCATATTACAAAGCCAATACTTACTAAGTACATGTGGAATAAGAGAGAAAGAGGGAATATGAATGCATAATATGGTGGTAACTACTACTTTTAAAGTTGAGAACAGGAAACAAAGTTCAATCCAAATAAAATAACAAGTAATACATGTTCTAGTTCTGCCTCATGGTCATTTTAAGAAGAAGGGAAGGCAGAGGGACCTGCCACGCAAAGGGGAAAGACAGACAGAGCCTGCGGATTCCAGAGCTGGGGAGGCTGGTCCCACACTGCCATCTTATAGACGGGAAAGCCGAGACTCAGACAGGTTCAATGACTTACTCAGGGTCACCCCAGTGCTGTCTGCCAATTCCAGTGTTTCTTCACTGAGTGATAAGAGGAAAACACAGACAGAAGCTTGTATAAAAAGAGGAGTTAAGGGGACTCAGAGAAGGGGCTGGATTGGGATGTGAAGGCAAGGGGGAGGAGCGGAAAAACATTTGGTTTACGCAAAGGGAAGGATAAGCTCATTGGTGACAGGGCCCATTCATTCCCCCATCTGCTTTTATTCAACCACGTTAATTCATATAACAAACAAAGATTGTATTTGGTGTTGGAAATTCCGAGTCTGAGGACAGCCCTCCTTCCACTCACAGTACTCACAGTCTAAGGGAACAGACAGACGGGTGCATGTTTTGCTAGCCTGCTGCCATGTGACACGTCACCCTCAGAACCACCATTTACTGAGCACTCAGTGCTTGCCAGAGTTGTTAGGAGCTTTATGTGTGCGACCCTCAACCCTCACCAAGGTCCTGTAAGAGTGATTAATATCTCCTGAGTCTCATAGCTGGTTCATGGAACACTGACGTCAAACTAAGTCAAAGAAGAGTGGCTTGAACCAATTTAATAAATATGTGTTCAGTGCCCATTATATTATGTCATCTGCCAGGTACCTAATTCCACTTCCTGCACCCCTGTGTTGACATGCCTGGCCCCAGTACTCAGGCCCTCTTCACTTCTGGTCTGGCCCCTCTGCCCCCAAAGGCTCTACTCCCTCCCCTCAGCCCACCCAGCCAATCAGACCCCAGAGAGGCCTCCCATAAACTCCCCCCAAAGTGGATGGATAGATAGGCTGTGTCACAAGTCCATAGCAGAGCCTTCCACTGGAATATCAGCCCCACGAGGGCAGGGAATTTTGTCTGCTTTGTTCACTGCTATTTCCCCAGGGCAAAGAGCAGTGCCTGGCACATATGAAAAGCTCAGTATCTGTTGAATGATGAGTGAAGGAATTCCAAGCAGGGCAGGGGCTTCAAAGACAGGAAGGTTTGTATAAAAGAAACTTGAACGCCGGGCACGGTGGCTCACGCCTGTAATCCTAGCACTCTGGGAGGCCAAGACGGGCAGATGGTTTGAGCTCAGGAGTTCGAGATCAGCCTGAGCAAGAGCGAGACCCCTGTCTCTACTAAAAATAGAAAGAAATTAATCAGACAACTACAAATATATAGAAAAAATTAGCCGGGCATGGTGGCGCATGCCTGTAGTCCCAGCTACTCAGGAGGCTGAGGCAGGAGGATCGCTTGAGCCCAGGAGTCTGAGGTTGCTGTGAGCTAGGCTGACGCTACGGCACTCTAGCCTGGGCAACAGAGTGAGATTCTGTCTCAAAAAAAAAAAAAAAAAGAAACTTGAGAAAATGCAGAGCAGCCTAAGTGAGAAGGAAGTTGATTCAGACAGGGATGGAGAGATAGGCAGGGGCCAAGTTATGCAGAATCTTCTAGGCCATGGTGTGAGGAATTTGGATTTTATTCATGTTGCACTGAGTTGCCACTGAAAAGTTTAAGCAGAGGGTGTCATGCTTTAATTTCTGTTTCAAGATCTTGCAGTCATTTATCTTTCTACAGCTGATCTGATGGTGTCATTCCTCTGCTTTAAAAACTTTGGTGCACAAAAAGACAAATATTGTATGATTCCACTTCCATGACGTACTTAGAAGAGTCAAATTCATGGAGACAGAAAGTAGAAGGATGGTTGCCAGGGGCTGGGGGAAGAAGGGAATAGGGAGTTATGGTTTAGTGGGTATAGAGTTCCAATTTGGGATGATGACAAGCTCTGGAGAGGGATGGTGGTGGTGGCTGCACACCAATGTGACCGTATTTAATACTGATGAATTATATACTTAAATGGTTAAGGTGATAAACTTTATGTTATGTATATTTTAGCACAATTTTTACAAAATTTTAGAAAACTTTGCTGTGACATTCAAGTTATAAAACGTGTATTTAGTAGTGTCCCATTGCTTGCCAAATGAAATTCAAATGAGCTAATACAGCAGAAAAGGCCCTTCTGTACTGAACCCCAACTAGCATTCTAAGCAGAGATTTCCCTCTTGCACCAAACATTTCACTGCCTCCAAACAAATCCTGGATGTTCATAACTCCAAAATATTGTTCAGGCTGTTGTTTCTGCTTGGAATTGTACTTTCACCACGTTCTTTCATGTTCCTTCCCAACCTCCAATGTCTAGCCAGCTCATGGGTCACCTTCCCCAACTCCCCCTTCCTCATAGAAGTGGCCTCTGGATGGTGTTGGCATTTTTACATATTGCCGTCAATGTGTCTGCTCCCTGGCTAGGCAGTGAGTGCCTCGAGGACAGAGGGACTACGCTGTTCACCTCTGATCCCAGCACTCTGCCTGGCAGGCAGTATGCTCTCCAGAGCTTGTGGAACTGATTAATATCCTCTTAATGCCAAAGTGTGAATGCAAATTGCATTCTGGTGAAACTGAGCTAAGGTATCTTCCCATGGTGGTTTAGCCTGGGAGAAATACCCTTTATTTCAGAGAAAGAAAGACATGAATGAAAAGAGCATCTCTGCTCTGTATGACCAGATAAAGTTCTGAACCTCATTTCTTTATTTGTGACACGAGAATAATAATATCAACCTTACAGGATCATTGGGATTAAATCGGATACAATTTGGAAAATAACCTAGCACAGACCCTGATACATAGAAAATGTCCAAGAAATGTGAGCTTGCTTTGGTTGTTATTACAGTAGGTGCTGAAAAATGGCAGCCATTATCATTGCTATATCCCAATGTTATTTATCTTTTGAATTGAATGAGTTTTGCACTCTTTCCTACTAGATTGTGCTAGCTTAACAAAAGAATATATTGCCTTAGTAAATCTCTAATACTTAGCATGATTTCTTCCATATGGCGAAGAAGGTATTTGATGAATATTTATAGACTGATCAATAAACTACTAGTAAAAAGGTTACTCAATTTTATAGATACTTTCCGCATTTGTTCAGAAACATATTAAATGTGAATCTATGAGGTACCAGGGTTAAAAATTGTAAATGTAAATAATCATATTAAAATTAAAAATTATATGCCTTCATATAGCAAACATGTACAATATGGTAGATATTAATATATTTGCATAATTAAATATTAATTTTAGAAGCAGATAATTCCAATTTACCTCTGTTCCCACAAAGAACTTTGTGCAGAAGTCTTCTATTGGCTTCAGATGATTGGCCATCCCACCTTCCAGATTATGGTATGGGTTCATTTCTCCTGCCTTCGCTGCTTTGCTCTGTGCTAATGCTTTGTCTTTCAGAGGAGTATGGATAAACAAGCACATATTTATAGGGAAAGATTTTTAAAAATATAGACAGTTTATATTTTCTGTCCCTTGCCACATGCATCTGTCCCATTCCCTTCCCAATGTGGTGGGAAGTCCGAGCATTTTTAAACTTCTGCTTTAGCAACAGAAACTTTCTCAAACCAAAACATCAGTGACTGCACCACTATGTGATAGCTTTAGCTACATGTGCAATGTAAGAGCATAGCTAATCCTAGGGCCGAAATGCAAACATCATGGGGAACCTGTTCCTTTTTAAAAGTATTTGATTTCACCTTGTTTTAAAGCAAAAGCCTTTATATGATCTAAAATTAATGTTACTTATTGAAGCTTTGGAAAATAGAGAAAAGCATGAATAAAAGAATAAAAGCATCCATTATCATGTCTCCCTGAGATA